TTTCGAAAATTACTATCACTTAAATCTAAACGTGCGAAAATACAAATCTATCCTTATTTTTAAAATTCATTTTAAACTAAAATATCCACAAATTGAAAAAGACAACATTGCCCCTAATAGTTTCTCTCTCTAAAATATACGCGTGCATATAATATATATATATATATATATATATATATATATACACACACACAAATAGGCTCGGTGGCCTTCCAGCAACGACGACGGCCACGACTGCAACGATGGCAACGGCGGATCCCCGACAGTGACGCCTTCACCTTCTTATCCAAAAATTTAATCATGCATCGATTCATTCGCCAAGTCCAAGCAAGGATCTAAAAACTATGTTCACGGGGATGTTTCCCAATAATTTGAGTGAAAAATATCAGATAAAATGTGAAACAAAAATAGATCAGATGGTCAGTGCATACTAGGAATATGTAAACAATGTGGCAGGGAATAATGGCCTCCACCGCCGGCGTGGTTCAGAGGGTTTGCTGGTGAAGGAAAAAGATAACTGTGCGTGAGAGAAGTTAAGTGGCCTGATTTTTAAAATTACATAAATATCCAGAATTTTTATGAGGTGGCAGATTTTAGTGAGGGTATTTTTGTACAATTGCTTTCCCATTTATATATATATATATAATTGTAAATTACAAAACATATAGGAATAATTTAGTCTTTTAATCTAGTTTTGTAGGTTAAAGAATTTCTTTGACAAAGTCAAAGAGTATTTTAGTTAATTTACATGGTGTTAAAGCTCTGCATGTGACGGCTGGGTGTGAGTAAAAAATGGAACAAACATTTATCATATGGGTGATAGTAATTTTTGAAAGTTATTTGTCATGTGAAAGTTATTCTTACATTTTATACTTTTTGGTCCAAGGATCTATGCCTCACCACGTCATCAGTGCCACCTAGCATCAGCATAGTCAAATTCTACAATTCTACATATATATATATATATATATATATATGTATATATATATATATACACAAGATATCAGGATCTTCTGCTGTCCTGTCAAAGGAAAAGATCACCACCATGGCTACCTATATATATATTTGTGTAGTTAAGAAAGAAGAAAAGATGGGAAACTTGGAGAGAGAAAGTAAAAAGTCAAAAGAAAGATTGGAGAAGAGAGAAAAAGATGAAGTCGGAAAGAAAATGTCTACCAGAGCTTGCCTATAAATTGTCAAAGAATGAAGATGAAAGAGAGCCCGGTTTAGGAGTTGGATAGTGAGAGTCCTCTCCTCCGGAGAGCTGCTTCGAGGAGTCAGCTAGCTGGACGCTTGTGTATTTATTTTCTACATTCTCTTTCAATTAATGCATTATGTTTTTCTTATCTTTAATTTACATGTTTTAATTTATTTTCTATTAGATTAGATACTTTAAATTTCAGTAAATTAGTTCAAAATCCAAACAATGTTTTAATATTTTTTTTCTCTCTAAATAATAATTTGAATCTAAGTTTGTGACATCACCGAATTTTCACGTGTAGGTTGGCCAGACTCACATTCGAAAACACGGGAATATAAAAACAATTTAGTATTTAAACGAATACAGAATACAAGAAGATTAAAAAAAATAAATAAATCGTTGAACGAAATTCTATTAATAAAATAAAACCTCCTTGACAAAAATAAATTTCATGAATTTAAAATTTTAAAATACAACTCAGAAATCTTATAAGTCAAGGACCCATAAACCATAAACTATTAATTCACCAGATATCTAACAATAAATAACAATACTAAAAAGTAAACAAGATGAGTAGATGAATGACAGTCTCTCAGCTGCGGATCCTCAACCTCGAGACTGGAACTTCTAATAACCTGAAAAATATATCGTGGGTTAGACCCATGAGCAAGTTTCTTCTATCAAGCCCTTGAAAACCAATAAATAAAACATCTCTAACCAAAATCATACTAATTAAAGTTTTAACCTTTAATATAAGATGATACATATATAATATATAAAGAACATGTTCATTCATATATTTTTTAAAATCCAAGATCATAAACAATGATAAGACTACCTCCATATTTAAACTAACCATCAAGTACATTCCACTTTTAAGAAAAAACTCTTTTAAACCTAAATTCCATATTTAAACAGTTATTTAACCATTTAAATAATAAATAATAATCTAAGGAATATTTTCCTTTAATCCAAATCCCAATATCCACCAATGTATGATTTTATTTATAAAGATTATGTAGCAAAGATCTATATTTTGGCAACTCCTCCATGCCTTCGCTAATATTATTTTATTAATACTATAAAATAATATATTATCTTTTAAACATTAGTTTATTCTAATATAAGAATAATTATCACCTCCAACTTATAAATACAATATCCATAGATGTATATTTAATTATCTAATTTACCTAACAATTTATTTATAATTTGGCAACTCATCCATGCCTCCACAAATATTTATTTATGTTTTGGCAAATTAACCATGCCTCTAGAAGTATGTTTATTTATATTATAACAACTCAACCATGCCTGTATAAGTAATTTATTTATACTTTGGCAAATCAACCATGCCTGTTAAATGACAATCTGTTTATGTCTTGGCAACTCATCTATGCCTCCAAAAGTATGTTTTTATCCATACTATTAATTAGCAATTCATCCATACTTCCTATGTATGTATTTTATTCATATAATTAATAAGACAATTTATTTATACTTTTAACAACTCATCCATGCCTCCAATTTAATCATGTACCAAACTTTACAATTAACTATGAAATGAATCATATATAGTCACTCCATGCAAGTTATAAGTATATAATTAATTTAAATAAATAACCTATTATGATCTCATCAACACCACCATCACATATATAAACATGTTAAGTATCAATGAACAACTTACTAGTTGATTATGTTATATTTATTTATTTATGTGTGGCAGTATAACATGTAGGCGTATATAACACGTAGGTTACACAATCTAGCAATGTCCAAATAACACATTACACATTAAATATAAATATTACGAATTATTTGGTCAACACCCAACCAATACAAATTATCTAAATTGGTTAAAACAATTATGAGATAAGATATATACATATACAAAATTCGTACTATCTTCCAACTCAATTTTGACAAGGTAAACATCCGTTTCACGAAATTTTCGTGAAATACAAAATTGTAGATAACCGAATTTCCATTCAACCGCGTAAGATTTGAGCCGTTTTGGCACTCGAGGAAATAGATACAGATAGACTACTAAAACGGGAATTGGAAAGAATTTCCTAGTTGAAAAATGATTCTTCCTTTTCTACTAATCAATTTCTTCACATGCATTTATACTATGTCTCGGTGATTAACATGCCAATTTAATCTATAGATTTTGATACCCAAGGTGATAAACTTATGGGTTCTAAGAGGAAAGTTAGAAAAGAACTTGCCTGAAGGTTTCAAAACGAAACCGACGCTTCAACCTTGGTTGTCTCTTCCAAATCCAACATCATCTTTCTCTGATCTAGCCTTTTCTTTGTCAGTTTTCTCTTCTTCTTTTTCTCTGCTCTTTTTTTTTTTTTTTTTTTTTTTTTTTTTTTTTTTGCTAACATGAATTTTTTTTTAACAATATAACCTTATGTGTATATTTTATACACATTAGTACCCTAATCCTATTCCTAGTATGATTACCCAAAAAAACTAATAATACTTTTAAATAAAATATATATACACATATATTATATATATATATATATATATATATATGTATTCCTCACACAATAAAAATAAATAATATATATGGTCAATTCAAATCCTCCTCCATGTTGGACTCTAGTTATATTAATTCATGACACATAAATATAAATAAATAAATAATATATTGCCAATTCAAATCCTCTTCCATGTAGGACTCCAGCTATATTAATATATATAAAACATATAAATATGAATATATATATATATATATATATATATATATATATTATGTAATATATATTTATAAATCCTTTTTAACTATACTTACCATATATATGCATGTAGTCTTATACATATATATTTACTATAAATATATAATTCTCTATATAATTATATAATTATATATATATATATATAATCAATTTAATATGCATAATATATATATATATATATATATATATATATATATATATATATATATATATATATATACACTTATGCATAAATCCATGGGCCTTTAAACTATCCCAAATCATTTAAAGCTTCATTCTCCAACCCAAGACTCAAATCTTTTGATCCAAATATTCCAAGCCCAGTTCATTAAACTTAAACAAATAATTAAATAAATAAACATTTAATATTAAAACAACTAAATACATGATGCACATTATCAAATAAGAATTAATAACCAAGTCATACCATACAAATAAAAATCAACACGCCAACAAATTAATCAACAATCAAGCACATTATCATACCAATAAATCAAATAAATAAGTAAACAAATAATTAATTTAAAATAAATAAATCCATTAAATTCATTTAAAGGCAATTAATTTAATTAAATAATTCTTTAAAATATAGGGGTATTACAAAGTTTCAATACGAAGTCTCAACTCGAATATGGATTCGACCTTATTTATCAGTATACAATTTTAGTAAAGTGATTGTAGGAAAAAAAATTTGTACGGATTGAATGAAGCAACGACAACAATATAAAAATGAGTCTGTCAAAGCTAGCTGACATTTTTTGTGGCATCATTCTCCTATCTCACTAGTCAATAATATTGCGATGTTGTGGACCGAATTTAGTGCGTGCGTTATGACCCGTTTACGACTTGATTACTGGTTGAATGAGCTTTGTGTGGGTCCATGCCCATCAAAATTTTGACCCCTTTTTTATTTGTGGGTGGTAGACTTTAATTAGTGCGCTCTTGCAACACAATAATCATCATTACATGATGTGATTGTTGTAAATAAAAATTTTCAGGACTCGATTTGAAATTATAAACCATATATGAGCAAAAAGATTATGGTACGTACTAACAAAACATTTTCCATCACAATTGAAATTGTTTTTACAAGAGATAGAGCTTCTTGTATACAAAATTGATAATCAAAACAAACGTACACAAAATTGACAATCAAAAGTATCCAAATGATCCTTTCTATTGCCTCTTAATGCTGCTCCCCAAACATGCAACTGACTTCTAGGATTTCTGTGTGTTAACCTACAAAATTGCAACAATCAAATACAGTAATTGCTGTATATATGAAAAATATGATATTTGAAAGTGTTGGTATGATTTTAAGAATTGAGAAATTGAGTTTGAAGAGAGTGATGAAAGTATGATTTGATGATTATTGGGTGGGTCTACTCACCTTCACCTTGCTCCTCCATAACTAGATGGATACCCGTTTTCTTCACCTTCTTTTCTTGTCTAGTGCGACGTATGGGGTCATATGATACAGCTGAAGCCAAAAATGGAGTTAGGGTAGCCAAAAATATGTGGGCTTTGGTCATCTCCCATGTTTGGAAGATTGAGTTATATTTTTATTTTTAAATTTAATAGACAAGCACGAATGGAGAATAAAAATGATGTTCTACTTTCTTTAGGCTTCGTTTGGATACACATGAGAGAAAAGAAAAGAAATAATTATAAGAGAAAAGAAATGAAATGAAATGAAAGAAAAGGAAAGTTATAATTTATATTTATCTTTGGATAGATAATAGAGAAAAAAAAAGAATTGACAATATTGTTATTTGGATAACACAAAGAAGAGAAAAAAAGGGAAAGGATATAATGAAATTGACATCTTACCCTTTTTCATGCAATATTGGTGGAAGTAATAGCAGTTTACTTTTAGTAAATCTTTTTTGCTTCAACCTTGTGAACTCTGAAGGGAACCTATTTTAAGTACTGGTCAATGTTCTCTCTCTCCCTGAACTTGACTTTCATCGCATATCTATAGCCATATACATAATTATTGATCATTTCTTATTATGTGTATGAATCGACTATTTCAGAAGCACAAGGCTGCCGGGCAGGATACTGTTATCACCACTTTCCCAAACACACTCTTGTCCATAATCACGAATTTGAACTCAACAGATTCTTCCCCCTTTAGTCCCAACTCACAAAACCATCCATCCTTTGTCCAATTCATCGCCACTTTCTTCTTCCATGAGCCAAATTCTCTTGCCGATCCCAAAATTGCAACACTCTCACCAAATTCAACTTGGTGATTAAGTCGGACGCGTAGTAGCACCTTCCCACGCCGTGGCCCGGATCCCATCTTCTGCTTCTCTTCCTCTCTGCCAAAAAAAAACCCATTCTGTTGTTCTATTTGTATGAATTTACTTCTGAGCGACTGAAAAAAAGAAAAAAAAAGAAAAAAAAAAAAAAAAAAACACTGCTTTATAATTTGAATAAGTACTTTTGTATGATCACTTAGAGAGTGCAAGAAACATACCATAAGAGATTGTTTGATTTTGATCACTCTAGCTGATTTTATCAGGAGGACTGAGGAGATTTTTTTTTTTTGGTGAGAAAAATACAGATTTGTTAACCAGATGAAACTCCCTTAAGCAGACCCAAAAAAATAAAGATAAAAATGAGAGAGATTAATAATCAGGGTTCAATTTGATTGTTTTTTAACATAGTCATGTTTGGTGCTAGACATCAAGAAACCCAAAAGGAACTGTTTATAAGGTTAATAATTAACCAAATATTATCCAAATTGATTAAACTTCAATCAATTCTAATAACCATTTTATTTAGAAATACGAAAAGAGCATAAAAACCACGAACTTAAAAAAAACAATAAATTCCATCTCTTCCCCTAATAAAGCTTTCTCTGCAATCAAACACAATGGAATTGAACCACAATTGAATGAATTACCTGGTTTCAGTAGAAGAAACGCCACAGACGATTCGAGAACAGTGTCTAGATTGATCACAAATTCAAGACTACGGAGAGGGAGAGTAGTCTCGGCCTCAAGAAAGTGAGAGCATTTTGTTGGCTTTGACGGTACAGGAGGAATCTGGATTGCCCTCTGAGATGGTTGTGTGGATGTACAAGTAGTAGTAGCAGTAGAGCAGACGCCCAATACACGCAGAGAATCATAGAATCATGGAGGCTAATTTTGTCTTTCTCTTTCAATTGTTTCCTTTCCCCTCAAATCTTCTCAAAATTGAGGAGATTTGATTTTACTATATTGGAGAGATTATTCTTTTCATCCAAACACACTTGACACTATTCTTCCCTTTCTTTTCTCTCCAAATCTCTCTAAATCCCTCAATCCAAAAGAGGCCTTAGAGACTTGAACCCACATATGTGATTTTATCAAAATTATGCCATACCAGCTATAAGCTAGCTGACATTTTCTGTGGCATCATTCTCTTATCTCACCAGTCAATAATATTGAGATGTTGTGGCCCGAATTTAGTAAGTGCGTTGTGACCTGTTTACAATCTGATGACTTGTTGAATAAGCTTTGTGTGGGTCCATGCCCATCAAAAATTTGACCCGTTTTTTATTTGTGGGTGATAGACTCTAATTAGTGCGCTTTTATAACCCAATAATCATCGTTACACAGTGTGATTATTATAAATAAAAAATTTAAATCCATATATGACCAAAAAGATTTTGGTACGTGCTAACAAAACAATTTCCATTATGATTGAAATTGTTATTACAACAGACACAGCTTCTTGTACACAAAATTGACAATCAAAACAAACGTACACAAAATTGACAATCAAAAGTATCCAAATGATCCTTTCTATTGCCTGTTAATGCTGTTCCACAAACATGCAACTGTCTTTTAGGATTTCTCTTTGTTAACCTACAAAATTGCAACAATCAAACACAGTAATTAATTAATTGCTGTATATATGAAAAATATTATATTTTAAGAATTGAGAAATTGAGTTTGAAGAGAGTGATTAAAGAATGATATGATGATTATTCGGTGGGTCTACTCACCTTCACCTTGCTCCTCCATAATTAGATGGATACCCATTTTCTTCACCTTCTTTTCTTGTCTAGTGCCACTTATGTAGTCAAATATTGAAGCCTGACTGTAACCACTTATGTAGTCAAATATTGAAGCCTGACTGTAACAGCTGTCATCATCACAAATATTGGGAGGGCCTGGGCTGAGCTTTGGTCTCTTCTTCATCAAATTTTTAATTGGTTGATACTTTTGCTTCTGTTCTTCGTAATTGGTTATGTTGATCAAAATAACGTGACTGCCTTTACACCTCGCATACGTATTTGGTCCCTCCATGCCATAACCATTGATTTTGAGATCAAATCCAATAATTCCATCAATTTCATGAAAATTCGAAACAGCACAGATGGAAATTCCTTTGACATTATTGTAAGAAGATAAATGATCTACCACCAGAGACAAAGAAGAGCCCTCAACTTCACTCTTATGCCTAAACCATTGCGGAATCTCACTTCCCGGAAAACTGATCCATTCAACCCCCTGTTCCATGCACGAACATAACAAGTTTTGAATGCATACATATATATATGTATAGAGAGAAAGGGAAAGAGCAAGAGATGTAAAGTAATTAACCTGAAGCTGACTTTGTGATGATATATTTGGCATGTTCTCCATCTCATCCATAACCAATTTGTGGCACTCACTGAATCTTAATTTGCGATTGTTTGGACCAATTCCACTTGGTGGAATCCAATACCGTTCCAATGATATGCAGCCATGTGCATCCACATATTCAATAGATGACGGAAGTGAAGTCAACGTTTGGAGGCTTGTGCAACCTTCCAAATAAAGGACTTTCAGACATTTGAGTTGAATGAAGCTTGTTGGTATGCTAGAGAAATTGTTTCTACTTAACTCTAAAAAAGATAAAGTGCACAAAGCGGAAAGCAGTTCCAGTTGCAAATAATTAGTTGAAGCAGGAGGAGTACTCTTTCTCTTTCGCACCAATGAAAATGGCACCAATGAATTTGGCATTTTCGGAGACACTCTTTGTAAATCACTTACATGAAGTTCACTAAGGTTACACAACTGTACAATGGATGATGGTAACTGTCCTATAGCGGTTCCTCTAAAGTCAAGGCTTGTTAAATTCTTCATTCTATAAAAAATGTTGCTTGTAACCATTTTAAGCTTTTGGCAATCACGTACCCATAAATACTGAAGCCCTTCAAGAAGCTCAATTGATGAAGGCAAATCTTTTATTCCAGATCCACCCAAATTAAGATGTTGCAAACGATCCATATGCCCCTGAATCTCTGGAAACTTCTCAAGTTTTAAGCATCCCCATAGATCCAAATATTCTAGCTTTTCCAACTTGATGCTTTTTGTGAGACTCCTCAGATTTTTACAGCCCCCCATAACCAAATTAACAAGCCTCTCATGAACTCCAATCGACTCGTGGACCTCAATTAGATTTTTACATCCTTCAAGATTTAATTCCTCGAGATATGGGAGACTAGACAAGTCAGGAGTTTTAAACAAATATAAGGAGTGACCGAGATCAAGGTATTTTAACTTTTGTAGAAACTGGAAAGGAAACAAGCAATGAAAGAAATCAATCAGTTTCAATAAAATCCGACAATACTATTCATATGTAAATAATTGTATATATAAACTCTGATCATACCTTTATACTTGATGATATTTCTTTGATTTGGTTGCGACAAAGACGAAGTTGAACAAGATTTTTTGGATGGAAATTGGATGGCAAAAACTTTGTAGGATAATCATCCCAATCGAGATAATATAATTCATTTGAAAGATATGTAAATTGTCCACAAGGTCGTACGCCACTAAGTTTGAGTAGTTTAAGTTTCTTCATCTTCTCAAAGACATCGACATCTACATGTAACTCCTCTGGTACATGTTCATCAGGCACGTTTAACACAATGCCTTTAATTGTTTCTATCACCTAATTATCGAAAACTTTATGTAAGTTACTATTAAAACCTTAAAATTATCCAAGTTTACAATTGTTTAGATGGAAAAAAGATGCAGCAATCCTTTTATTTATTTATTTTTGGCACAACTTGAATATCAAAATTGCAATTAAACTTATATGGAGTTAGAATGTACTGTATTCTCTCTGAACACTTTATAGATATCTTCATAAAACCACAACCTACTTCGTTTGCCAGGATCATCAGGTGATTCTTGACGAACAATTTCCTTACCCATTTCTTGTAACAAATCATGCATGCACAGCTCTTTGGTTGATGAGATAGTTATCAATGACCGTTCAATAAGAATTGGAATTCGTGGGTGAAACCCATTACTGCCCAATACATCCATTACATAATCTTCATCATACCCTTTGAAGAAACAAGCAATGTCAAGGAATAAATCCTTCTCTGTGTCATCAAGGCTATCAAAACTTATCTTAAGAACATCATGAATTTGTTTATTAGGAATTCTTTTCAAATTATCCAATTCATGTTCCCACTCTTTAAAACTTCTTTTAAATAAATGAGAACCCAAAACTTGAAGAGCTAATGGAAGGCCTCCAGCATAATTTACCACACTTCGTGAAAGATCCAAATAATCCTCCAAGGGATGGTTGGTAGTGAAAGCATGCCAACTAAAAAGTTGAAGAGCTTCATCGTCTTTCAACAACTCAACCTTGTACATTTCATCTACTTTTTGCTCCACCAATAAACGTTCATTTCTGGTGGTTACAATGATCCTACTTCCAAAACCAAACCAATCATTTGCTCCAACTAAACTTTCCAATTGCTTCAAACTATCCACATTGTCAAGAACTACCAGGACCTTCTTGTAATGTAGTCTTTTCTTTATCACATTGATCCCGTAGTCAACATTAGACATCTTTAGATCTTCTTCCATTAGGATGTCATTCAAGAGTTGTTGTTGCAGATCAGTTAGACCATTCTGTCGTTCTGAAACTTCTTTCACATCTTTAAGGAAACAATAACCTTCAAATTGATTAAATATTCGATTGAAGACAACTTTGGCTATGGTTGTCTTTCCTATTCCCCCCGTTCCACAAATTCCCACAGTGCACACATCCTTTGGCCCATTATTTAGCAAAGTGATCACTCCGTTGACACGAGAATCTATCCCCACTTCATACTTGGCAATATATAATGGTTTATATTCCAATATTTTTATATTCTCTTGAACAATTTTTTGGATAAATTTCGCCTCATACCTATGAAGTACAAATCACATTAAAAAGAACTAGTGAGTCATAATTTTTTTTATATTTTATTTATGGGTAAATAATAATAATAGTCATAAATTACTCATTTGGTAAACTAAATTGATTGAAATAGACTAATGCATCATAAAAATGTTAGATAACTCAAGTGTAACTCAAGTGTACACAAATAAATAAAAATTATTTTAATTATGGATTATTAATATTTATTTTTTCTTTTTCTTTTTGTTTTTTTTAGACAAGTCATATTCAAACACAACTAGGAAAAAAAAAACAGTCATGTTCAAACATGTCTATTATTTATGGACTTACATTTGAAAACAGCAGCGATACCACTTTAATAAAGTCTTTCTGTTCCATGGACCAAATTAGGTAAAAAAAAAATTTTTTAAACTTAATTAGAATGGCAATCTTAAGTTTAACCCACCTATCAATTAACCTTGAAACCATAATTTTTTTATTTATTTTTCCCTTTTTGGTAAGAAACATCTAAAGCTTAATAATAACTCTAAATAATAAATATTCAACTTTAATTAGATTAGTTTAATTCTAATTTGGCATAAAAATAAAAAAATAAAAAAATCAGGAGATACGCAATTGAGTGCGAATAATAAATATATATTCATTTAAAGATTAAAACACTCACTTAAAATTAAAATATGGCGAACATACTATTGAGTTAATAGGATATTGGTATTTTCTCTCCTCGGAAAGTGAGAGGATTGAGGCTTTAACTTCATAGAGCAAAAATGTGTGTGTTATTTACTAAGATATAAAATAATAATAACAATTAAAATTTTGTATAAGATATTGTGCAATTTTTCTCAATAAAAAAAAAAAAACAAATTCTCAATAAAAAAAGAATGCTAATTGAAAAAATAAATTGTACTTCATGTTTGCTTCTACTAGTAATTAGGTACGTATTGCAAAGTCGTTTAGTTAAACTTGTGCACATATTTCATACGGCAATATAGAAGAAGAATAAAATTTGTTGAGTCAGTTATTACCCATCTGCTACATCGTTTAAATCCCACCAGCTTAAATTTGCTGCCTCTTCCAAAACTGCCCTCCACTTTTGCACCTTTTCCTTATCCTCTCCAAAATTTTCCTCATGTTTGGCAAATGCTTCTGCAAAACTTCCTTTTTGTTTTCGTACTTGTGACGGATCGACATTGTAGAAAATTGGCAAAATCGTCTGTCCCACTTTATTCCTGCATTCAACGATGTGTACGAGTTCATCCAAACACCAAGAGGACGATGCGTAGTTTTTCGAAAAAATGATGATTGCAAATTTCGATTCCTTAATTGCCTTGAGGAGTTCAGAAGGAATCGATTTTCCTCTCTGAAGTTTCTCATCATCTTTGAAGGTGTGAATTCCTTTGTGTTGCAGAGCCATATAGAGATGGTCCACAAAGTTCTTGCGGGTATCTTCACCTCTAAAACTCAAGAAGACGTCATAATTCCATTGAGGCGAAGAAGAAGATGAAGATGAAGGAAATGCATCCATTGAGGCTTGCTAATTTGTGAATGCAAAATTTATGGGTGTGATTATGATACTTACATATATCTCTCCCCCTCTATATTATATAGAGAGAGAATGCATATGATAAGAAGTTGCAAGGAATTTTGTATGAAACTTCGATCTTTTTTCTGGGTGATGGACATGGATGTGCAAGTTGATGGTAAACAAAACAGTGTGAAAAACGTGTAGGTGGGTGATATTAGGCTGCTGAAGAAAGTTTTTAAAACATGTACAAAGCCGACAAGCTTAATGCTCAGTCTGTTGTAATCGATATTTATATGCACATATTGTCATTACTAGTAAGTTGTGGTATATTTAGATTAAGATTTATTAGGTTGCTATATAATTTAAAATAAAGTTACCTCTCTGTTGGCTGAGATTTGATGCCCCAATAAGGTTAATGACAATTTGTATATGTCCAAGGATTGTCATTGTCTTAAAAGAGTTGGGATAGCCTTGACCAATAAGGCTCACGACAATTTACATATGTCCAAGGATTGTCTTTGTCTTTGTCTTAAATTCTTTGTATGTTCCCAAGGCAGGAAATTGCTTGGATGATAGCAATTGTCCAAGGATTGTCATTGTCTTACAAAAAGAATGATCGAAACTTTTCAGACTGGGGGAGCTTGAATATTTATTGATGATGAATTCCCGCGCATGAACGACTTGATTTTAATCGTTAGAATATTCATTGTGCTCTTTTATTTTCCTGGCAAAAAGTAATCTCAATGAATAATTGTTGCCCTTCTGTGCAGCAACTTCAATTCGTTTTTCACCAGCCTAGAGCCATTTACAATAAAAGGAATTAAAAAAAGAAAAAGAAAAAGAAAAGAGTAGAATATTATATATAATATCACTTGTAGAATATATATATATAAAGACTAAAAGCACCAATTTGTAGAAAACGGAAATGCATTCATGTAAATGTGGCAAACGTTTAAATTATGGCAAACGTTAGATGGTGAATGCGATACATAACAGCTAGTACAGGTTGCATGACATGGAAAAGTTAGAAATATAGCTCATAACTAAAATACAGGAAAGATATGGACAGAAAGGTAAAAACCCTCCGATGTTAACACAGCAAAAAAAGTGAGAGATGCTTGTGCTTATACAGGCAGATGCATGTGTTTATGCATATACTCATTACAAAGGGTGGATCCATTTTACAATTCATTACAACAGTAGCAAGACTTGATCCCAAAGTTCGGATATTCCTTTCCTATTTAACTTCTATAAAGGCCCATAGTGTTCATCTTTTACAATATTCAGATCCCGAGTGTCTAGAGACCCATTTAGTTTAAGGTGCACAGTGTTAAGAAGAAAAAAATATATTTAAAGGAGGCATTATATAAAAAGTTCCATATATATACATATAAAGGGCTGGGCGGGGCAAGTGCCCCCTTGGCATACATTGGCTCTGCCCATGGATGGACTCAGTCTATATTAATAAAATTTTATCTTTATATGCATATACTTGTTGGGATTTATATGCCATGGCATAGCAAATTCCTATTTGAATTATAGTGACATATGTTCCTGACGTTTCTGAAATATTTATGCTTGATACAATTGGTGAATTCAATGTATTATGTTTCGATTCATTATATAATTGATAGTGTCCACTTAATTACAAGAGATATTTATATATGTATGTGATGGCGATCAATACATGAATATAAATAGTAATCATAAATTGTTCATAGTCAATAATTATGGATGAACTCATAATTAATTTAGACTTGAACTGGATCCGCGTTAGGTTGAGATATATTGCGAGAGCCATCGTATGCAATTGCTCCCTATCACTGTCATGGCATTTGACTCTTAAGAATGAGAAAAGTATAAACTCTTTTATTAGTTAATAATTACTTTGATTTGTTCGGCGGATACTTCGGGATCCTTAGACCGACACTTTGGGTAGTTATGTAATTAATAGTTAGAGGGTTATATTTTTAATATTTGTATCACTGTTACTTGTATTTATTTTGTATTAAATATGGTTGATTACAAAGTAAATTCGAAGGCTTTCGTGTGTTTTTAGACAAAATGATTTATTATATATTTAAGTATTTAAATTATTATTTTTGTCAAACAAATATTTTATTGTGATCGAGCTGAAAATAATCAAAGGTACCAAAATAAATATATTAATTAAGTAGTCGGATTGATAGTTTTATTTATTCGATAACTAATTTTGCATAGAGGGGTCAAAGTGCAACATTGACTTAGATGTTATTTATTATTTAATTGGAGTTCAATTAATTTCTTTTAGTGGAGTAGAAATTAATTTATAAATGAATTGAATTGGGTTCATGCACAAGGTTAATTATTAATTCATTGTAGCCAATAAAATAATAAGCCCAAATAATTCTTACTCATAACCCAACTTGATATTGGAATCCTATTAGATTTAAGACATATGAATTAGAGATTGAAAATGATTTATTATTTCTTTTTCTTTATCTTTATGTTGCCTATATATATACATGGTCTATGTATATTTTAGGTGTGATTTTTGGAAGAAGAAAAAAGTAATCTATTTTCTCTCTCTAGAAAATTAGGGTTAATGTTCTCATATAATAGAGGCTCCCACAAGCCTAGTTTTATAAGGTCATTCATGGAGGCTTATGAGCGATTTCTAAAGGCAAAACAATTATTAAGAAGATGGAGATTCAAGGATAAGGCATCTTGCTAAGGGATTTACAATAAGTGAGAACATTCACTTTAGAGGAAAGATTTAAAGGTTTACTCAAACATTTGATGTAAGTATTCAATCTATTAATTGAATGATACATCATATTTTATTTTTACATAAAACTTGTCTTTATGTTATGAATCAAGATCTATGAATCAAAATCCCTCAAAAGTTTTTAAAATTTACACGTTTCCCTATAGTGGTATCAGAGAATGGTTTGATTCATTACTAGAGATCATGTTTTTTATGAAAATCATCATTCATCGATCCAAATTATATTTGCATATGTATATATTAATATATGATCATGATGTATGTATATTTGTGATTGGATGATGTTGATGTATGTTTGGGCCATGGATGAAGTTTATAGGTTTATTGAATATAATTTTATCTTTGGATGAATGTAATTAAGGCTTTGATTTAGCCGTTTGAAAGTTCAATGATGTAATTTAATTTTTTCCATTGTATTTCAAATTGTAAATATTTATTAAAGCTATGTAATCTTCATCAAAGGATGCTATGAAGCTTCAAGAAGGTCCAAGAGGGTTAAATTAGGCTTCAGGAATTTTCTGGGATTTTTTTAGAAATTTTCTGGATTTTTTAGGGCCTAAATTTAATTTTTATGGATTTTTTAATATTTTTTTTGGCGGTTTTCCGGTAACTTTCTGAAGATTGGAATAGCGCTAGCGGCAAGGGAAGCGCCGGAGTTTGGACAGCCAATTCAATGCGGCGCGGCACACTAAAGTCCTGTGTAATCGGATTGTTGGCCCTTGATTTTCATCACAGGTAGAAAGAGATCAAGTGTGGCGAGCTCACAGTGCGCACCATGCGCACCCAATGAGCCCAGCGCGTGTTCGCGCTGGTCATACCAGCGCACTACAGGCGCGTGGCAGCACGTGCCACGCGCTGCCGCTATCTATAAGCGCGTGCATGAGAGTGTGGGGCGCATGGGCGCGCATGGTGGGCGCGTGGGAGTGCGTGGAAGCTACTGGAACTAGTTTCTCGATTCCTGCAGGTGCATAGATATAACGGTGGACCTCCAGGGTTGTTTTTATAATTATTTTATGCTGTTTTTGCTCATTAAAGAGTAAATTACTGCCCCAAAGTAGATTTTAATATTATTCTCCATTATTTAAAGATTGTGGGAGTTTAATGGGGTGCAATAATTGTAGCACTAAGTAATTATTTAGTTTTTAATATAAAAAGCTAAATCCATTGGCCATTTCATTTATTTATTTATGTGATGTATGGAATGCATGAAATAGATAATTGTTAATTAATTATTGTTCAAGCATTGGATTCATGATTTTTTATCTAAATGACTTGATTTATATTAATTAAATTATAAAAATGAATTGGATTTAATTACTAATTAATTAGAGGGCACTTAAAGGGAAACAAAAAATTATTTTTAAAGTGTGCCTCAAATTAAATATTAGTGAATCATTTAAAAGTCCAGTTATTTTCTAAATTTAATTGGATTAAAATCAAGGCGTTTTGCATGCATTATATCATGGATATGAATAAATAAATAAATAAATAACCCTAATTATAAATGATTAAAAAAATTTGAGTAGGAGCGAGGATTTTTATACATTACCTCATGGCTTTCGTTATTAAAAGCATTGTAATTAGATCTTCAAAAATAAGGCCCCACGCATATTTGAAGAGTCTTAATATTACAAGAATGGTTGGCTCATGAAAATAAAAATATTAAATGTTCATTGTAATTAGATCTTTAAAAATAAGGTCCTACGCATGATTTAAAGAGTCTAGATTATAATGACAAGATATTTAATGTTTTATTTATTATTAGAGCTTTAATAACGTTATACACTCAATCTAAAATCAATAGTGTTAGCTCCCCAATGGAGTGGTCTACACTAGGTGATTTAGAAAGGCTAAACAAAATTGGGAATCATTTCATATGATAGACAAGGCATTGTCTTAGGAGATATGGAAATGATGGGATTTGTCCGCCAGCAGTAATAGTGAACTTCACCAACCGAATAAGTTATTGGCGTATTGATTATCCGATTTTTCATGCAGTAGTTAAGGGACCCACATATTATTATTTTAATGAAAGTGCTCACCAAATAGCAAATGAATCCCAACAATAGTAATAATGAATTCCTCCATCAGGATAAGTTATTGACGTATTAATAGTGTGATTTATTATGCTATGAAGCTGAGGTACTCACATTAATTAAAAGGGATTGTTCACCAATAATGATAATGATCTCTTATTATATTGAGATTTATTATATTATGTGGTTAACAAACT